ACCCTAAACCCTAAACCGGGAACCTCCAGTCTTGGCAGCTGAAGGTGTCCGTTTGTGGCTGGAAGCTGTGGGCGAAGGGTATTGAAACCTGAAAGGGGCTAAAGATTAACCTTAGAACCTTAACTCAGGGGTCCCGCGACCTAAGTAGCAGGCCACAGAGGCATCTTTGGCTCTTTGAGAGAGGCTTTAGCTACTGACCGGCAGAGAATCCGGCAGGGAATGATGAAACTGGGGCTGAGGGGTTGTAGATGCAAAGGTGTGGATACTTAGTCCCTAAATACTTCTGCTGCATGCTGTTCTGCAACCACCAGACCACTAGGGCCCCTATGTTTGGGTGTTTAGTGGCTCGCTTCAGGGTTTCCACGGTTTGGACTTTTAGGGTTTAGGGTTTTTTGTGTAGGGTGTTTAGGGTTTAGGGCTTGCATTTGTGATGGCAAGGGAGTTCCTGATGGCGATCTGCTGCACGTGGGCTTACTGCATGGTGGCCGCAGGCCCTGTTGACGCCCGAAAGAATGGTGCAAAACGAAATACTGGGTCCGCCAAGGAATACCTTATTCTAGTTTTATTGTTTTGTCGTTTAAGGGGTTGTTGGGGAACCGACTTACAGGGGACTTAGTAAGTGGGGGTATAAGCCAGGAGGGAGACTATGGACATGTATACTTGTACCCCCGATATCCTCCGACTCAAGAATTTACAGCCCTACTTATCATGATTGTGGCTCTAATATTTTAACACCACAGCAGAAAAGGAGCCGAAACGAGCATTGAGGATGAGTGCGTGGTTGTCCATTCTGGACGAAGCCGCCGTCGAAGACTGGTGCTTTCACCAGTGGCGACTCTTCATCCGCTGGATGACGCGGGCGTGCACAGGGAGAGACTGTGCGCCTGGAAGAAGAAAATCGCGAACTCGACACTTAGGGTTGAGGACTTGCTTGGTCGCATTTCGATTCTTCTACATGCGACTGTTGCTCGTCTATGAATCTTCCGCAGGCTTGTCTAGCGAGAGAGAATGCAACTCGCGAGCGAGAACGGCATCGCGTCGGAGGTGGCGGCCTTGCTGCGACACGTGTTGACAAGTACCTACTTCTAGGACAGTTTTCAGGTGGGTAGTTACC